ACAAACACACACACATACAAACAAACATATGAAACAGACTATGGACAGATAATTTTGCCTATGACTTTCGAGATGAGCGAATGATAATTTTATTAAAAGAAATGAACTCACTCATCTTGAAACATCACCTCCATTTTAAAAAAGAAATCACCATTATCACTCAGAATCTCTACAGTAAGGTGAGTAAGTGAGTGAATGATTAATTCATTGATTGATTGATTGAATGAATTAATGAATGAATGAATGATCGAATGAATGATTGATTGATTGAATGAATGACTGGATTAGTGTGTGAGTCACTATTATAACTCAGAATCTCTACAGTAAGGTGAGTAAGTGAGTGATTGAATGAATGAATGATTGAATGACTGAATTAGTGTGTGCATAAGTGAGAGAGAGAGAGAGAGAGAGAGAGAGAGAGAGAGAGAGATCAGACTGGTAAGTGAGTGAATGAGTTAGCGAGTTAGTTCATCATATAATTATCGCTATCACCATCACCATCGTCATCGCCAGTTGCAAGCACTGCATAAGTATGAAGACCTTTTGGACAAGATTAACATGGAGGTGTCTAGTAGGACTAATAATCTCTTACCCACTGTTAGTCTGTCTGTCTGTCTGTCTGTTCGTCTGTATGTATGTATATATTATATGTTTGTTTGTCCGTCTGTCTGTCTGTCTGTTCGTCCGTAGTATTTATGTATGTATATATGTTTGTTTGTATATATGTGTATGTATGTATGTATGTATGTGCGTGTGTGTGTATGTACGACGACAATGATGACGAATCGTTTATTTAACTATTATATAATAATAATAATGATTATAATAATAATAATTATTATTATTTTCGAAATTAACCTTATTACATGTTTGCATTGCAGACGGACATAACAGAAACCTGCCCCAATCCCCTCTTCCTAGGCCACCAATTGACGCACATCGAACTCGAGCGGCTGAGTATGATTGGTCCAGAGGAGTTCATCCAGGACCACGCCCTACGATCTGTTCGTTCTGATTGGCTGTTGCTCTTTCGACGATGTTGGATGTTGTGGTGACGTGAGGATGTTTATAATGATTGATCGTGATGTGTGTGTGTGTGTGTCTGTCTAAGTGTCTGTGTGTGTGCTTGAAGCTATCTACACTGGGACCGCCTAGTCTTTATCATCATTACCATCATCATCATCACTATTATCATCATCACCAACCACACCATCATCATCATCACCACCATCATCATCACCAACAACCACATCACCACCAACCACATCACCATCACCATCTTCTTCTTCATCACAGTCATCATCGCCAGTCCTAAAGAAGTTAACCAACATCGATTCTTATGTGCATTGGTATAATAGATTGAGCTACTTTGTGGCTACGGAAATTTGCATGGTAAGTAGAAACACACGCACATACACACACACACACACACACGTACACAGACGCACGCACACACACATACAAACAAACAAAATTGATAGCACTTGAAGAAGAAAAACAGAGCGCGCATGATTGAGTACTTCGTGGATGTGGCCAAAGAGTGTATAAACATCGGCAACTTCAACTCTCTGATGGCCATTCTAGGGGGCCTCAATATGCCCGCTATACAGAGGCTGAAGAAAACTGTTAGTTGATTGATTGGTTGGTTGGTTGGAGAAATAATTGGTTGTTTGGTTGGATGATTGGTTGGTAGGTGGTTGGTCGGTTGGTTTGATGATTGATTGATTGATTGATTGGTTTGTTGGTTGGTTGTTTGTGATTTAAATTCAACGAAACGTCAATCATTTTATGTCGTCTGCAACAGTGGGCCAAGGTTAACAAAGAAAAATTCGAAATTTTAGAGGTATTTTGAATCGAAAATAATTCATTAATTCATTCATTTATTCATTCATTTAATAATTCACTCGTTCATTCGTTCACTCGTTCATTCATCATCGACTATACATTTAGACATTCGTTCTTTCATTTTTATCGTTAATTCGTCTAGCCGGTCATTCATTATTTCACTCATTCATCTATAAATTAAGACACACACACACACACACGCACACACACACACCACACACACGCACACATTCAAAGACGCACACTTACGCACACACACACACACACACACACACACATACACACGCAAACAAACAGCGGCTCTCAAACCCCTGTGGCAACTTCAATAGCTACAGATCCTCATTGAAGGCTGCCCTCTGGAGAAGCGAGGGGGCTTCTGATGATAGAGAGAGAGTAAGTTAGGATGACGATGATGATGTTGACGATAGTGATGATGATGATGGTGATGTTGATGATGGTGACGATGATGATGGTGATGTTGACGATGGTGACGATGATGATGGTGACTATGGTAGTGATAATAATTAGCATGATGGTGGTGATGGTTGTGGTAATGATGATAACGATCTTTTTTCATCATCGTCGTCGTCATCTTCATCGCCTAGATCATAGTCCCGTTTTTCAGTGTGATGCTCAAGGATATTTATATGCTGAACGAAAATAAAGACCTTCCCGACAGGTTTGTTTGTTTGTTTGTGTGTTTGTTTGTTTGTGTGTATGTGTGTGTGTTTGTTTGTGTGTTTGCTTGTGTGTGTGTTTTTGTATGTTTGTGGTTGTTTGCTTGAGTTTGTTATATGTATGTATGTATGTATGAATGTATGTATGTATGTTTGTATGTATGTTTGTATGTGTGTTTGTTTGTATGTATGTATGTTTGTATGTATGTTTGTTTGTATGTTAGTTTTTTTTTATAATTTTTTTATTGTGCTTACTCCACTGTAGGTTCTCAAATGGCCATGTTAACTTTAAGGTGAATGTGAATGAAGATGATGACGATGATGATGAGAATGGTGGTTATGATGATGATGAGGATGAGAATGATGGTTAGGATGATGACGACGATGATGAGAATGATGGTTATGATGATGATGACAGCGGTTTCTTGAAATAATTTTATTGGTGATTTTTTTTTTGACGCCATAGAAAATTTGGGAAGTAACAAAAGTTGTCAACGAGTTCATGGCGTGGAAGCAAGTTGAGGTAGGAGCGGTCGGTTGGTCGGTCGGTCGGTTGGTTGGTCGGTTGGTTGGTCGGTCGGTCGGTTGGTTGGTTGGTTGGTTGATTGGTTGGTTGGTTGATTGGTTGGTTGGTTGATTGGTTGGTTGGTTGGTTT